GATAATATATAAATTGTATTTCTTATTTAATCATTTTTATTTTGCATATTATAAAAATATAACTAGACTAACCAACTATACTATATCATTCGAAATAAATATATAGAAACAACAACATTTTCACGTTGCTATGCACAAAAAAAGCCATTACAAGGATCTTTACTTACATTAAACTTTATGCACTCGACTCGATTCTATCCTAAACATGATTCCTCATTTACTTTGAAGAAAGAAGCTGTTTGGGTGAAAATTTAGAGAACGATGGGATTTGCTTATATAAAAGAGCTTTTTTTAAAAAGTTGCTTTGGGTCAGATTCTTTTAAAAGTAGGGGTGCTAGGTGGGATTAGTAGCGAGCAAATTCTCATGTGAGACTCTCATCCACTTGTATGAGTTGGTTCGCCTATCCTCGTAAATATGCAACAATTGTCATATAAGGGCACCACCTTATATTTTAGAATTTTTTGCATTGAGATTTTTTTCTTTTAGTTTTCAGTAAGGTGTTTGAGCATAACTGTCATGTTAAGTGTTTGTAGTCAAATCAATCTGGTGCTCACATAGTAAAAGGCCCATTAGGTAAATTAAGCAGTGCAAATTCGAAAATGAATTAATCCCAAAGTACAGACAATTAATTCACAAGGTGTTGTCAGATACCTCAATGTAGCAACGGGCTCCATATGTTATAAAAAAATAAATAAATAAATAAATAATTGTAGCAATGTGAGTACCTTGGCAAGGACCTATACGCCAAGCTTGGTTGTTCGAAAATATCGATACGTAAAACTTCACTTTTACCTTTATTTCCGTCATATGACTCATATTCCCAATAACAGTATTGATGGAATTTAATTTCATTTTTGACATAGATTTTAAACAAAATTATAATATTTTTGAAACTTTGATTTGTTATAAATACGAGATAACTACTTTTTGTCATCAATAAATGAAGTTATTTGAATTAATGACGATTGAAATATATGTACTTTATTTGTAATCTTTTAAACTTATTTTTGTCTTCTTTGCAATGTTAATCCTATTTTTCTGATTTAAATATTAAATATTTATTTGGTCTAGAGGTGCGTTGTGTTGAGATGAAAAATATTTCCAAAAGTACTTTCTGGCCCGTACTTAGTTTTCATTCCTAATTCAACCTTATTTGAGTCACATTATTGAAATGAAAATGTATTTTTGAATAGTATATTGATGCGAAATGTATGGTTAAAAAATAAAGAAATATTTTAGATTTGCGTATAATATTATTTTATTAAAGAATGTGTAGTTGAAATAATATCAAATCACTGTTGAAGAATATATTTTTTTTAAATAATGTGGCTCGAACAATATTCAATCCACGTCTCAAATCACGCAAGTCTGCTTATTACATTAAGTTACTTCAAAATAATTTAAATTTAACTTTGAAACAAATATATTCTCGCTACGGGAAAAAATATAGTATCATGTAATTCAAATGTTCAATTAATTATTTATCTCACTTAAATAATAAAATTTCCCGGTCCGATTCAATGTACTAATTTAATGATCTCACTATATACATAAGATAAAAATTTTATTTAAAATTCTTTAGGGCCAATGGAAAATAAGAAAAAAATTATTTGTAAACTAAACTATATAAGATTTTATAATGCATATTAGCCCGTGTATGATGGCCTTAGAATTTAAAAGGCATAGTTTTGAATAGTATTTTTTGGAGAATGTATGGTTAAAAAGTAAGGAAAAATCTACGAATAGCCAATGCATCTAACAACATATTTTCAGGGAAGGGGGATTAGGGCGGTACATATAAAATATTTTATTGTGTGAATGTATGGTTGAAAATGAGTATGAAAAAAATTAAAATAAATGTAATGAAACAAGGCTTAATGGAATGTTTGGATTCAATTCATTCTTTTACTAAAAGATATGCATCTAAAATTGTCATATTAGTAGTAGGAAGTTTTTATCTTGCCCATCGAAGGCAAGAAATCAATTTCATGCTTTTTATTTATACTCAAATCTAACTAACTCATTTCTATTTTTGCAATGCATGTACTACGGTGGTTGATGGGCTTTCTTCTTGGGAGAAATAATTGGTAAACTATTTCTATCATAAAAATTATGATCATCATTGATATGTATATTCAGTCCCTTGAATAATCTTTTCTTTGGATGACTATTCCATCATTGTATCAATTTCACTAAGACAATTTTAAAGATATTCAATATTTATCATATTTTTGTAGCGCTGACTGAAAATGACATCACTTAATTTGTTGATAAATTAATAAATTATTGTTTTTATTGATATATTAATGTCTATCTAAATTAACAATTTTTCTAGATCCTAATATTATTATTTTATAGAAATTTTAATGTAATGATTGATTTTGACATTTATTTACATTTTTATTTCCTCCCAGAATAATGCTATTCAAACAGGGGCAGGGACGTGCAGCTTGTGTGTATAATTTATTATTATTTTTTTCAAATTGTTCAATAATATTGTGACACGTGTTCTCATATATCTAATCCCCATCCCCGAGTAAGGATGTCAAACGAGTTGAACGGCTCGTCCGCTTGGGCTCGTTAATTGGCATGGGAACCAAGCGGCTCGTGGGTCGGCTCGGCTTGTCGAACTCACGAGCGATTTGTCACGAGAGCTTGTGGTCTTGTAAAAAATGTGAAGAAAAGTTTGAAAATTTTCAAAAAATAAAAAATATCGAGCTCGCTCCTTGAGCACGAGCCGACCTAGTGTGTTTAGGGGCCGAGCATTGCCATCTCTTTCCTCAAGCCTCTGTATAGCAGGATTTTCCTCCAATCCATGCTACTCTCACCCTTGTCCCATCCCCATCATTTTTATCTCCACCTACGACCTGTCCTATGTTGCATAGTTGTCATCTCTCCCATCTTAAATTTCTATATCGACAATTTTTAAATCTTTTTTCTTCTTTATATGAGGTTATCTTGATCGTCCTTTAAGAATATTGACATGAGAATGTGCCTTATATTGAAGTAGATATTGTTGGCGATTCAATTTAAATTTACTAACAATAAAAAATAATTGCTATCATATGTATCTTGTTTCACATCATTGTTAAAAAATATTTAATCGCATTTGTACAGTATAATTTGTTTTTCTTATTTAAAAATAAAATAAACAAATAAATATTTTTTCTCTGTCTTTAAGAAAATTGTGAAGAAAAACATAATCCGAGACAATTTATGTCAATTGGAGAATAAAAATGCGATAAAATAGTTTGAGACAAAATGTGATAATGTGTAAATATTATGAACATTTTATACAACTAAAATATAATTTAGTCATTAAAAATTGGGTGTGAATATATTTAGCCTAGAAAAATATATAAATATAAAAAGTTTTAATGTTAAATTTCAATTTTAATGAAATAAATAGTGATCTTAAATGATGGAAGTCATAAAAAAAAATCCACGCGAACACGTGGCATAATCTCCTTCATCTTTTGTTTTCAAACGCTACACTGGATAATACCCTCCTTTGTCCGAATTTACCTGTAACCTTAAGTGCGTGACACGTCATGACTGCCTCGGAATACCCAAAAGTAACTCCCCAAGTGGGACCCACCTATTTTATCTCCACAACGTTATCACAACTTCACAACGCCGGAATCATCGTCCATCATTGGACCCCGCCGTGACCTTTTTTTCCACACTGGAAAAAGAAAATTGGCAAATATTTAACATTGGTCCATTTCTCAACTAGAAAGTTAGTCCTCACACTCCTTGCTCTCAATAATAACCACATTGTAATGTAATATCAAGTTGAGAAACGCAACTAACTTTATAAGATGTCTATAGAGACCACACGATTTTATTATTGAGGGGAAAAAAAAAAAAAGCTCTTTTACAGAATTGGGGTCGAGTTTTCTACTCAAGCAATAGTTGAGGATCGAAAGTACATATTTTACCAAAGACGGATAATTAATATTTGTAATCACATTATGCCCTTATTTGAGGCGTATTTTTTATATCAAAATTCATTTTTCAACAATGATTCGATCTCGCTTCAATCACACATTTTTTAATAAAATAATATTACACGTAAAGTTAAAATTTTTCTTTATTTTTTAACCACACATTTTCCATCAATACACTATTCAAAAAAACATTTTTTGAACAAGAATGGTGCTCAAACATGATCTATAATCATTAGTCAGACCATTCTTCCCTTCAATCTTCTATTACTGAACACGTTATTTCTTATGACAGTTTCGATCTAAATTTTTTAACATTCTATAAGACAAAAGGACAAATACTAAAAGTAAAGAGTTTTTAATCCTTTCTTAAAAGAATTTTTAAACTGTTAAATCATCATCAGAGACAAAATGCAGCTGATGTTTGACTCCTTTTAAAACAAATAACTATTTATCATACACATTTTCAACTATGCATTCAAATAATAAAACATTTTACACATAAACTCAATTTTTTTTCACTTTTAACCATACATTCTCTAAAAAAGTACTATTAAAAATATAATTTTTGTGCAATATTGATCATCAAATAGGGACATACTAATTTGAAATTAGAATATAAAAAAAAAAATTAAAGACATAAGTATTGCAAAAGTTAAACATTAGAAACCTTTAATGCAATTAAAAGACAATGCAATGTTTGCCCCCCAGGGCACATTTCAACTGGCAAAGATGAGGGCGCTTCAAGATTGGCAGATCAAAGGTCGTGAGTTCGATTCCTGAAAGGCTATTGGATATTTTTCTGGAAGGCAGGATTTATCCTAAAAGATAGGAGCTCTACTGGAAGGCAATGTGCAAAGATGGAAAACGACTTGCTTGGCACTTTGGTAAATCAGTTGGGGGGCTCTTGAGTACTGGTCAATTTGGGGCACAATCTGAGGTTTAACCTGTCTGCAGCTTGAGGGGCCAAGGTGTAGACTCCATGATTTAGTCACTGTACGGTGGATACCTGGATATAAAAAAAAAAAAAAAAAAAAAAAATGCAATGTAATAAAACGTGATGGGTCAAAAGAAAAAGCCATAAAATGAGATATTCAATGACCAATTTGCCCTCGTATTCTTTCTATAAATCCACACCACTCTCCTCGTTCCTTCCACTCCATTAGCCACTCTATTCATTTCCAATTATAGATCGGCGTTTCGTGTGTATTCTTTTGGAGAGAAGATGTTGGGAGTGTTTAGCAGCTCGATAGTTTCGCCGCCGGACGAGTTGGTAGCGGCCGGAAGTAGGACGCCGTCGCCGAAGGTGACAGCGGCGAAGCTGATGTCCCGGTTCCTGGAGGCGAACTCGTCGGGGGTGTCCATTCAGATCGGCGACGATGTCCAGATGGCCTACACTCACCACAACCAGTCGGTTTTACAGCCCAGGTACACACTTGTAATTTCGATTTTACTTTAATTTGTCGTAGGATAATTATATTGTGATCACAAATTTTTGATACACCACATTTTCATTACAATTCTTATTGTAGCAATTATTTTTTTTTAAACTTATTTTCATCGAATTCTTATATTTAAGCTTTTATTAATGGATGTTGTTACATGTAAATCAAGTTTTATATAATGAATTAGATAATATGTCATTTTATTATTTATCAATTTAAAACACGATCAATTATTTTATCTAATCTTTTTCTTCCACATCATTTTATCAAGTACAAGATGGGTGAATTAATGAAAAGTTTGAGAATAATAAGGACATGGAAAAGTATTATGGACATAACTGCTATAATGAGAAAATCTTGCTACGATGCAATAATAAATAAAAATTGTGGTGTAAATAACTACCCTCCATCTATAACCATCCAAAAGAAAAGATACCCTTTTTTTTTTTTTTTTCTTCAATCGCAGTGAACTATTGCAGGGAAGAAAGAAAGAGAATGTAGTCAATTAAAGTGAGCCTCTATATATCTTGTGTGTTTCTGGGTCTAATTTCTGTAGGTGATTTTATTGCTATTGGTGATAGAATCAGGGTATCTAATTCTCAACACGAGCATCCTCAGCCTATGTTTCGAAAGCTTCATTCCTACTCCTCTAGGATATTTGCATAGTAAATAATTAAATTTCCTATTGTCTTGTTAGGTGGGATGATTATTGACTTTGATCTGTAAATTTGAATGGCCAACCTATGTTTCTTAAATTTATTTTTAGCGGAGTTCAGCTTTTAGTTATTCATATGGCGAAAATTGACATGTGAATGTAAATTGGCGACAAATGGCAGATCATTCGCAGTTAAGGATGAAATGTTCTGCTTGTTTGAAGGAGCCCTCGACAACCTGGGGAGTCTGAAACAACAGTATGGCCTTGCGAAGTCTGCCGATGAGGTGCTTTTGGTGATTGAAGCATACAAAGCACTTCGTGACCGGGCACCTTACCCTGCGAATCGAGTTGTTGGCCACCTTGAGGGGAATTTCGCTTTCATGGTTTTCGACAAATCGACTTCCAGTTTATTTGTCGCTACTGTGAGTAATCTCACCTAATCTCACCTACCAAACGTCTAATTGAATCTTTACTATTTGAGTGGACTTTACGAACATTTGAGTTGGTGGTGATGTGACAGGACCAATTTGGCAAAGTTCCTCTCTATTGGGGAATCACTGCTGATGGATACGTCGCATTTGCTGATGATGCTGATTTGCTAAAGGGTGCTTGTGGCAAATCACTTGCTTCCTTTCCACAGGGTAATTTCCTAAAATAATAATTTTACTATGAACAACGTCAAAAAGGAATAATGAGAATAGTCGTAGTCGATGGTGCCAAAAATGATGGATTGGGATTATTTTCAACGAGGGATTCTTCAAGTTAACATTGTTACAACAATCTATCAGTACAAAATCACAAAATAATGAACAAGAAAGGTTACAAGAAAAAGAGGCAGAAAAGTAAATCCTTCAGTCTTCATCGAGAACTCAAACCACACGACATCAAGATGAAGTTCCTTTCATGAATAGGGCTCAGACTCAAGAAAATACAGGATTGTACCCTTCTGTATGACCCACACCGATCGCCCCAAACCCTAAGGTTTTCCTTTATCAGTTAAAGGAAACCACAAGGGGTAAAATCACACACCAAACTCTCCAATACACACAGTATTAAGGAACACAAAGATGGAATCACACAGAAACCAGATCCAATCAGAGATTGGATTCTCACGAAGAAGAAGAGAGGGTTTGGAAGACTCTCGAACCTCAGCCGCAGCTGGAGAGAAGAGAAAAATGACGGTCCAAGTAAATTAGGGCAAAAGGGGCCAAGTATTTATATCCAACAAGGGCACCCTTAGATCAAGTTTCAATCCGACGGTCAGGAGGCATCCATATAACTGAATAAGGCGTGTTTGGCTGCATTAAAATATGCCACGCCCAAAAACACGTTTTATCTACCATGGGGCCGGGGCGGATCGGGTCATGTTATTGGGCAAGAGCCTAAATTGTTAAAACAGTTATTGGGCTTAGCCCATTTGTCATCACAGCCCAGAAAAAGGTCATTGGTCATCACAGCCCAACAAACATAATTGTGTTGCTTGATTTTTCAGGTTGTTTCTTCTCCACTGCAGTCGGAGAACTTAGAAGCTATGAGAATCCCAAAAA